AAATGAATGAATATAATGGGTGAAAAATGCTTTACATGCAATACAATTAAACAGATGAGAAAAGCAATGTGCCCAGACATTGACATGTTTGTATTTCTCCCTAAGCAGAATATACATTGGGACCTTGGTATCCACTGGGGTTTGGTTCCAAGACTCCACATGGATACCAAAATCCATGGATGCTCAAGTCCCATCAAATACAATGGAAGAGTAAAATAGTGCTCCTTATATAAAATGGCAAAATCATGGTTTGCTTTTTGGAATTCATATTTTAAAAAATATTTTGAAGCTGTGGGTGGTTTAATTCCTGCAAAAGGAATCCATGGATACAGAGGGCCAACTATGGAGATTATCACACTCTTAAATCCCACTGGGAGAGATGCAGGATCTAAAAGACAAAAATGGATATTATCATATTTATCCATGTCCAGGCTGTAGGCAGCCTGTATCCACTCAGGCAGCCTGTCTACAACCCAGACCTCTCCCATGCCTTTTTCAAGGACGAGATTTTCCCATTCTTAAAAAAGGCACAAGAGAAGTCCAGGTTGCAGACTGGCTGCCTGAGTGGATATGAGTTGCCTACAGCCTGGACACGGGTAAGTATGCTAATACTCATTTTCATCTTTTAGATCCCGTGTATCTCCTGGTGGGATTTAAGCAATAATCTCCTATATGTTTGTATATCAATGAATACAAAAAGCATAAAAGATTACTAAAGAACGTGGTCATTATCCCATAGAAATATCCTGAGATTCTGATACTTAAGAATGTTCAAGTGGAGTGTTGACGTTAATTCTGCCTGTATGGTTTTAAACACCATCACAAATTGGGTGCCTAGGTGGATTTTAGCAGCAGATGGGGCAGGGCTTCAGAAGCGGAAGAGGGAGGGCTTCTACCAGGAGGGGACAGGCTTGGTCAGGCCGAGCATGCGCCCATGCCCCCTCACTCTTCTATCGTGGCCCCTGTCCTTGCTGCCATCTCCTCCTCCTCAGGGAAAGTAAACAAAGTTTGGCTACCAGTCCTGAAAAACACCAAAATCAAGACTCAACACATGCAAATGAACTTCACCCAGGTTCAGGGGTTTCCCCAGCAGACAATGGATTACTAATTAAGTAGACGCTAATCCTCCTTGCATTTCCTCCCACCCTGAGGCCTTGCCATTCACCAACAGACCAAAATACAGATTAAC